TGTTGGGAGGAGGATTGATGTTCTGATATATACAAAATTAATCTGGAGTCCAGGTCCTGAGTAAAACTGTGTGAAAAAGCTTCTTTTGCTCCCATAGTTCAGGATTTTATGTCGTTGTTTAATTTGACTTTTGTCCTCTCAACCCTCCCAGACGACTCTGACATCGACTATCACTAACTTTGCCATATTGGCTTGCTCTGCTTGTTTGCCTCTATCATCGTTTTAAACTAACCTACCTTCGGCGAATCAGATATTCGTAGTATGATCACCATATATATATATATATATCGAAAAGAAACTTCTTCACAAACTACTTTTTCTATATTTTCCATGGAAATATTCTACGGCCGCATTGCATCCCATAAAACCCATCTAGTAAAAATTTTCATGGGAACCGTAAATTTTGTGTTTGGACCATCCATCCGTAAGTGAGTTGCAAGCAAGCGACTTAAGCCTATTGAGGTTGCATTCTGACCACAATCGTAGCAATCATCACGTTTTCACAGCATGCCAAACAGCACCGAACTGACTGATTGATTACGGATATCACTTTATTTCATTTCTGCCCATGTTTTTATACTATTTGGCTTGAACAGCTCCCCCGGAAGACATTGCTAATTTTCAAGTTGTAAACATCACGTGGAACGCTGTGATGCTCACCTGGAAAACTGGATTCGATGGAGGCCTCGAACAGACAGTAATCATGGAACGATTAAAAGTGATACAGACGGATATGAAGGACTATTCACTGGGAGAGCCACCAGCGTTCGAGAAACAACGCTTTCTGATCACCAACATTCCTCGACTGCCAGCATCTCACCGCTGCTGGTTGTCCAGTGAGTTACTATTCAGTATATCTGCAAAAGCCACAAATAATTTAGTCATCTTTGTTCAGTGAGCGTTTCGGCGTGAACAAGTGTAGATTTGATCACGTGAATCAGACGGTGAATCATTTTATTTGTGGAAGGAAACAGTGGACATGGTTTTTCGCATCACCTTTCAGAATGACTGTTCTACTACCAGCAGCACTAATGCAGAATAGGTCATAACTTGTTTGCTTCTTTAAATTATGTAGTGTATTCATACGATTAGAAATGCTGAACACAACTATATGTTCATAGTGAAACAGCCACGGAGTGCTCATCATCGACCTTACACACAACAAAATGTAGCGAGCCAGTAGGGGCGTTTCTTATTTTTACTTCATGCGTCCTTGTTATGGTGTTTTGTATGAGTTCCATCATTGAATCAGTCGATTTCAGAGAGAAAACTCTCTATGATATGAGATAAATGAAGAACAAGCAAGAGTGCGTTGACTGGTTTGATCTCCCAATCGTCAAAAACCAATAATTCCCTCCCCTTATGCTCATCAAGGAGGTCAGTCGATCATCGCTTGCTGCGTCACAGGAGTTTTCAAACTACAGTCAGAATTACGGTTCATAATGTGTTAAAAGCGTGTTTGGTCACCTTCCAACAATAAACAACAGTGATATTTTACGTCACTGTTTGACGACTTTGACGGATTCAGGGATTACCCTAGAGCCGCTTCGATGAACGAGTCTCTATAATTCGGTATTTAGAACTGCGTAGTAACAATCCAGTTTATAAAAAGTGTCAGCACAGTGAATGGACTAACAAATTTATATTCTCCGCAGCCTAAATTTGTTCTATTGGATACTTTCACTCAGATGCTCCAATCAGAGTAGTATCCTTTGACCGGTTTAAGTTCAGTTGTCATTAAAAACAAAAATCCATCTCAATGCAGTTCATCTGTATGCAGTATTCAATCAGCTGCAAAATCAATGCAATACTTACTTTGCCACGCCTGTTTTTGGGCCAGTCACATTATACATCGTATTTAGCCCGTCGTACACACATCGCATTTAGACCTTCCATGCAAAAATGGATCACTTGCATACATTCCAATTTCTAAAGACAATGTTTTTCCGTCAATAATGAGAACAGAGAAGTCACAAACGTGGGTTTGCACGATGTAACTATGGTCATTTCGCCTCATCTATACACGTGCACATTGCGATGACGCTGCTTTTTATAGCCAGTAACTTAACAACCGTGAGACAAGGACAAGACTGCTAATTACAACGGATCACGGAACATAGCAATACGAAAAACGAAGGCGCATTCGGGTCAATCCATCAAATAAAGCTAGTAAGACCAACCAGTGATGTTGTTTGTACAGATCGGGTTTTAGAGTACGGTGGGTGGCTCAGAGTCTCGGCAACTTTTACTGACTTGGTGTTGTGTTCCAAATAGCCTAATATGCTCGGGCTGGATTAAGACAATAATTCTGCTCGAATTGATGTTGCGTAATGGAAGATCTCAATCTTTTCTGCCTATTCGACGGAGTAACGGTTCCGCATTTTCGGTTCTAGTTTCTATCCGTCCCGTAATTATTTGCCTACCTTTTCAAACAATATAAACATAGTGACTTTCGACAATATCTGTTTAAGGTGCTCTCGGTCATCGTGTTTCAAAAACCATGATTGACAGCATATGTAATTTTCACATTCAATCAATCACAGAGTACTATAAACAGACTGACTAAAAATCGTGTAAAACGTGGTAGAGCAGTTTTATAGTCTTGCAGATGTGAAATGAAACAATGGGTTGAGTAAGTAGCAACCATGGTGGTGGTGGTGTGAACGGATTCACAGATACACAAAATTCGTATTTGGGTGCTCGTTTGAATAAAATCATTTGAGTGCCTGTTGATTACAGATAAACCGTCACGTTCCCCAGGGAATTCATTTCAAAGGGGGATGTGGCACGTGCACACAATCACACAAAGTGCATGAAAGTATTCCCGTTCGTCACCGGCGTCGAAGAAGTCGTAGCCATCGGCATTATTATCCTTACTATGGAAGACAGACGTATAGAATGTTTTTTTTCAAATCGGACGTCATCGATAGGTGTCCGATTGGGAGGGAAATGGACTGCTTGAAGCGAAGATAAACGCGAAAATCGTGTAATATTGACCTGGTGCAATCCCCGTTTCAGCTAAATCATCCATTTTCTGTCTATCAGGCAGTACCAGGGGATTTATGGCGCGAAGAGTCCGTAGGCATTAAATCGCCTTTTTATTTGGCTGATATTTGTGTTTCACACTGATAGTACTCGTATCGTTGGAAGCGTCAGTGTTACAAGTCACAGGCGAGACGAGTGCTAGTCGCGTGTTCGGTGAACAGACTAATTATCAGGTGGTATTATGATCGCTTTTTGCTCGGGGGAACCGACAGCATTCACCATCAAATTCAGGAACTCTGTTGCGAAGAAAAATACATTTGGATGCGCTCTGGAAACTCAAGGGGAAAACAAAATGGTCAGCCTGGCACATCTGTCGTTGTTCCCATTCGCATTGTTCCCGTACAGACAAACACGCAAACCTAACGACAAGTGGATGAATTTTATGGGAATTTTTCACCACATTTGCACATACACCTGGAATAAGTCCAAATTCTTGTACATATTCGATGTTCTAGTTTTAGGCGGTTAGTGTGAGTAGCAGAACCTCGTCTTCCATGTGGCGGTTTGTTTTGTTCTATTTGGTCGATTTAAACGGGGTTGAATTTACACAAATGAATAACGGTTGATTACAAAAGACAAGATCATCTGTTTGATGAAGAAAGAAACGGACAGAGTACGGTACAAACTTTTGTTTTTAATTAACAACCAATAACGACCCTTAGTTTCTAATGTTTTTGCTGACAATACAAAACAATAGACATTCATATTATCTGCGTCATATCCCGAATAACAATTGTAAGAAAAAGGAGAAAGAGTGAGGGTAGCTTTCAAAAGTTCTTCCCATTTGTCTGATATCCATTTCGGAGTCGTATTCTGTTAGGAAGAGTCATCGAAATTGAGCAGTGCATGACAGCCTTCAATTTATCTTTTCTTTTGTCTGTTGGAAGTAGCTTATTTGTTACTACTTTATTCATCTTTGTGATAAAATTTAAAAACAAATATGTTTTCTCACATTTCATTTTATTAATGTATATTTCTAATGCTCTTAGCATAGGATATGATGGATTTAAAAAATCTACCATTACAAAATAATACCAATCAATGCGTGTGCTTATTCGGTTAAAAGTGGAGTCCCGTTTCACTGCATCAATTTTTACCCTCAACTATCTATTTGTTTCACTTTGTATGATCTGATAACTTTCTCCGTATGCTGTCCGTATTTTGTTATCAATCCCCAGTTGGTATAGTAGTAAAGCGTATTTGCCAAAGGTGCATCTAAATTCGAAATAATAGTTCAACCTGGATGGCCTGATGTAATGAATAATCAAAAGAAACCGGGAAATTGTTCCCTCCGTGTTGGCACTATTTAACATTTTGTAGCATTTTTAGTATCTGCAGGAACTTTAGCCGCAAACTGTGCAACGCTTACATTTTAGTTCCAAGATTTTTAAATTTTCACTGATGGAGCACATTCAACATTTGCACATATAACGAAAAAAGAGTCAAGAAAAAAATATTGCCAGTTACGAATGGATAATTTCAAAGTGTAAAACATGATGTACAAATTTTGTGTCCCATAAGACTAAAACAGGTTTTTGCTAATATTTATGTTTGATTCGGTGCTGTCTCTTATATAGATTACTCTTCATTGGTGTAAGGGAAAAAACTTGCCTGACATTGTCACTTTCCATATCTTGACAGTTCCGGGCAAAACGTCTCTCTGGTGCATTTACTGCCTCAGACCATGAAATTCGTTTATGAAAGACAGCCACTCTAACAAACTAATTATATTGTTTTATACCAACTATTCGGCTCCCAGCTAATGTGAATCTTCCCAATGCAAAGACGAATTTATCTACATTTCTCTCCTCACATGATCTTGATGTTTTTTCAGTGAAAGTGATTTCACCTGTTCAACCAGAAACAGGAATCTTTGCAGTTTCGTTTGAAAATTATACAATTAATTTCTTTAGCAATACATTGTAAACAGCTACTTGAATAACAATGTTAAAATTAATTTAGAGGGATTTTATTCTACCTGTCACTGTTGAAGCCATTGAAGACTTCTAGACGCCATAACCAGCAGCAATGAAAACACAAGCAATTTTCATCTGATCCGTGGAAGCCCGTTGGCTAGAAATTCCATATAATCGTACTGTTGAATTTGTTTGCTACCATCCACGCGTTTTCGCCAACGTACCTGCCTAGTTGACCCTCCCACAAGTGTTATTGTCTTGATCCGTGCGTATTATCGATCACCAGACATGCACTTTTCCTTCGTTCCATTTCTTCGTTCGCCCACCAAACACGTGACCGTTGTCCCGGACTTTGATATGGTCTGACTCACCGTGTCCAATGGTTATCGTATGGAGTTACTTAGTCTTATTTGGATTGGGCCTCTGTTTCATCCTTGCGTTGCATGTGCACATGTGCGCTTTGACGTTATTTCACATATCCCTTTTTCGTTTAACGGAGTGGTAAATTCACCCGTTTGCAACTTGATTCTCGATTGGCATTGTTTATTTCGCCGGTTGAGGCATACCCCTTGGGAACGTCACGTTTTTAGGTGTGTTGTTTAAGTAATTGTAACACTTGATATTTACACTTACTCAACGTTGGCCTGGATGACCATTTGGATTTAACAAATACTAAAACGTGTATTTTGCTTGACAGCAGTGTAGCTGTGAGACATTCCACAGTAGGTATGACAAAGCATTTTACGACTTAATTGCGTTTGTCCGTCCACTATTGATACAGCTTTGACTTCTAATGGTAAACACAGTGTGAACCTTGAGAACTCACTTTCAGTCTTCGGTTTAGCATAAAAATACCTTTTTTCACTGACCCATAACGAATGTCCCACTGAACGAATATTGCTTTAGGGGCGATGAACACCAAGTGCCATAGTGAGACAGAAAGTTACCCTAGGATTTCGTCACATCTAAATAGAAATTAGAGTAAACTCTCGATCTTACACGTATTAAGGAACAGTATTAGTAACACTGTGCAGTTATTCTTTCGTCTATTCCAATTATCAACAGAGTATGTCTACGAAGCTCGAGATAGCCCAAACATATAATCAAATTTGGTGAATCTTACACGCTAAAGTTATATTATATATCGCTGATGTGCAACCAACCTTTGAAGACATCCCCGTTGACAACACTTGCAACTGATATTTCTCTAGGCTTGCATTCACGTTCTGTATATGGGGCACTGATTAGTCTCAGTAATGGGGGAACACTTAAAATTACTTTTAGGCGTTTCATTGACATTTGTTGGCAGTGTTTTATTCCACGGTAATTCACCGGACCCAGAAAGCACCGTCTTTGCATCAGGAGATTGAAGACAATCGTTTTGTTTCGACATCTTGCTCTTGAGACGCCTGAATTCTTCGCGTGTTTCTCTAAAACTCGGACCGGACGCTTTCAGTCGGACCAAATGCATTTTTTCACCATCCGTTAAGCCCATCTTGCAGTAACTGACATCTGTCATTGGCTGCGACGAACAATATAAGATGATCACCTTTCCTCTTCAGTTGTCTCGCTGATTCAAGAGTTAGAGCTCATGGGCTAGCGAGTTTAAATCCTGCTTTCTTATTTGACTCAAGCGCAATTTGACGTCGTAACTGAGCTTCAGCTGAACTCTACGTTGAGCAGTTTGTTTTTGATCCGGGAATCAGCCGGTATATGAACACAGTTTCATAATGTGACACTGAAAATGGGATTTTCATTTTCATTTCATCTTCTGTTCTATTGCTTTTAGATCTGGAACCAAACACATATTATCAATTTCTCTTATACGCGGAGAATGAACTCGGCCGTAATGAGCACGTTCGTAAAGTGAATATCAAAACCACAAGTAAGTTCATTGGGACATGCCGTATGATAAACCCTTGTTTGATACCTGTTCCTCGTCACTCCCTTGAAGCACAAGCGAAGCGAAAAAATTTCCTTCATTCGACACTAACACCGTGTATTCGAAAGTAAATGAGATGTTTCAAGTTTACTAAGGGCATTCTTATTGGATAAACGAAAACATTGCTGCATACCGTTTCACAGAGTCACCACTGATCGTTTACTGGACGTCGTGACATACTTCTTTGTTTTCGTTGACGTTTCCTTTCACTGAAAGAGCAAACAACAACAAGCTAGCACTGTTATGACAAAACAAGTAAATGTGAGTCAAACGTGAAAACAAGAGCTGTTAAATATTTGGTGTTATTTTATCGACTCGTTGGCTTGATGTTTCTTTGGGAAAATTGGGAAAATTATTCTGTCACGGGTTAGCAGACGAAACAAAAATGCAATACCGAAAATAGCGAAATACTCCGTGACTGTTATAAAATAAATACAAATGCACCGCTCTATCATTATATACGGAACCAAAAAGCCAGTCTGACTCTAAAAGATGTAAAGCAAAATATTACATTTGCAAATGCCGGTTTCAAGAAACTAGTTAATATTCAGTGGGAAAATGTGAGAAATTAATTAATTAGTATATCTGCAGTAGGTAAAAAGGAGATTTGAACCTTTAACTGATTTACGATTTATAAGGAAGATAGGGCCTCAATAGAACTACTACTGGACGGGTATGAGTGCGTAAACAGTTTTCATCAACTGAGACAATCGTTTTTTATAACAAATTTATATTCACCATTTAGGTTTCTGTGTGTTTCACTAACGGATTTATTTTCCATATCATATATGTTCTACCGATTTCAGAGGTTGATAGATACGGTAGATTCACAAAACTAGATAAATCCATAATAATGCTTCAAGATCAGCCTGGCATTCGTTTAGCATTCATCGATTGCCTAGTCATTCAATCTAGCGAAGAAAGCCGAATTAGTCATCTGAAACGTGTAAAATTCTTTGTGACATTATCAGGTATTTTGCGTTTGAATAAATAGTAGCAATGCACATTGATTATTTGATAAGGAGGATGGTCTGGCAAGATTAGTCTACTTCATCATAGTACAATAAAAGATTTCCAGTAACGGTGGCAAATTCGTAGAAATCTAGGCGTTCCACTGCATCTTATGTTAAATTTCCCATTTAGCCGTTCGTGAAAACTCGTTGGAAAACTTCATTACTACATAAGCTACGCAGGCATCGAAAACACATGATCAAATAATTACTCATTGCTCGCTTTCTATTGATTTGAATCTATAAATCGCCTCAAATTAATTGTTTAGATCGGTAGAAAAATCTGTCTCTAAAATGTGCATGGCCAAGGATGAATAGGGAACGCCCTACTGCGTCGGATGATTGCCATTTTTTCGACTATCAAGAAATCAAATGAATAATCGCCATTATGTTCGTAAAACTACGATATAAAATACTCGTTTACTTTATGGTTGCAACCAAAATGAAAGGGATAACATTGTTTATTTTCAGGAACCAAGCTAATTTCCTCATGTGTTGCTTACTTCACTTGTGAGCTTTGCCATTCAACGGTGTACATTCAATGACGTGGCGTGGATCTGAGCTCGCTATTTACATTCTGTATAGACATGCTCACACCAAACAAAAGAATTTTAGAGCACAGAATATGTTATATCTATAAACGTCGTGGTATATATATATATATATATCTTCGTCAAAATAATTGTGTTTTCAACAGTGGGTAACTTTTGGATAGGTAGCTCTTTCAGAGCCAGTCCATTGAAGAATCAATACCACGATTCGGTGTTTTGTAGGCGGGTTAGATGATACGAACGTGGGTACAAATATAGTAATGAACTAACAAGAGATGACGGGATACACCTGCCTGACGAGCAGTAAGAACCGCGAAACTGGTTGTGTGCTACCAGGGAAATTTTATCTAGTCCTTCATATGCTGCTGATTATGAATTGTTTATATGTATTCCGTGTGTCATGTTTTGAAGGACAGGTGACAGATGAATACAGACCAGCAAGCACAATGGTAAGAGAAATCAATACGGATATTACCTATCAATATTTGCGATTGTTGTAAGGGGCAGTCAAATTTCCAACATTGCAGCTTGAGGTTGACCACAAATCGGGTGAACACCTTGGAGTGAAGAATACCTCGATATTCAATAATGAGTTTGAAGACGAAATAACAACAAATAATATCAACTCAAAATAGTCATTTGTTTTCTCACAAAAAAACAGATTTTATATGGAAGAGCGTTCGCATTAATTTAAGCCTTTACAAAGGGCTGGCAAGGGGTTTTAACGGCTGTGCATTCCGAAATGGAAGAAATTGTGTGCAATACTGCATGTTACACGAAGTGTGTTTTATTGTGGGCAACCTTTCCAAGCACTGAAGCTTACAATTCAGTCAAATAGATCAGGGTGAGCAACTTGTCCCCTCACAGTGCAAACTGACAAGTTAAAATAACAACAACAGGAAATCAGAAGCGGGGATAGATAAACATTGTGGCTCGGTCAATCGTTATCATTGCTGGATTTATCATCCTAACAGATGTGCCGGCTGAACATAGTATACCATGTCGTATATCTAAACAGCTTGAAATAGCAGTTGCTTCGCTCTAGAAAAAACGTGATAATACAACCAGGTTGTTCAAATCGATTCATGCCGGACAGAAAAGTATTATCGTTTGATTGTAATCCTTGTCGAAGCACTTCCTCACTGTCTCCTTTAAAGCAAAATGTTTGCACCAGGTTTAGATTTCCCACAACTGGAACGCGTGGACTCCTATTCGGATCGCTTGGAGCTCTATTTCGCGGAGCCAATTCCATCGGCTCACTTTTGTGTAAAAATTCAATTTATCCATGCAACGTCCACCAAATGGCTCCCCTTGTACAATGATTGCCCCACACGGGACTCGGACAGCACAACCACCACGTCAGTCATGCACACCCATACCGGGGACAATGGATCGGACAATGTCGGCAGAGAACGAGATCCGGTGTGGATTTGTCAGACAAATATTTTATCCAACCCGAGCTGGTATTGGGTAATCCAACCAAACAACACACCAGCATTCGGAACGGAAGAAGAATTTAACGTATTGCGGATGACACGATTTGTCGGTCAAAAAGAAATGAAATCATCTGCGAATCTCAACCCACTGAAAGTGAAACGATTTCCTTCTCGTGCAGCTGGTAAGTTGGTACATTTGGATGTTGGAATTTTTTCCCAATCCTTAGAGGTTCGCTAGTGGGGAGGTATAATCTGTATACTTTTAGGTAGGTATGTGTATTGTAATGGCGACGAAACGTTTCCAGACCGCTAAACAGTTTTTTTAATGAATCTCCTCTTGGATGAGTTTTTGTTCCAATTTGATATTTTTCGACTAGATTTTATTCAATTTCTTAAAGCTATGTTATATTTCAGTTAGGTTTGATTATATTCCAGCAATTCATAAAACTGGAAAATCATGATAAACATTGCCTCATTTTGAATAAAATATTATCTGATTTGGCGATATTTTCTCAAATGGAAACAAAATCACGTTGATATTTAGAACTGGGGGTGAGAAATGTTTACATACGATCAAGTAATCAGTTCAATAAATAATGAAACTTAACATAACCGAGAAGCTACAATCACAGACTTTTAGCGGAACATTACTGACTACATTGCTACCTGAATTGCATTGAAGGACTCAGCTGGGTGCTTGATCAACTGATACCTGATGGAAGAGTTGTACTTCATAATCTGAAATGGTTATTGCGGCCTTCCAGAAAACGAAAGCTACAAATCCCAATCCATTACCGATGACCAGTAAAATGCTTGTGTTGTAATTATCGAATGTGATCCAATGTGGAGTGAATTACCACTAATCTTTCTGCTCTGTTCGAATCAAACCCACCTGTGTTTGATTGTAATTGGTTTTCTATATTTTCCAACGAAACACTAGCGTTTAGCGAGCTTTTTAAACTGACGGATAGCCGCACGAAATTCCTGTTTATTGTTCTTTGTGATAACCCCATTGATTTCATGTCTCATTGGATTTTCATTTCGGGGAACCGACGTTTGCGGTATCCCTATGAATTTTATATTTTGTAATTATTAGTCTGTTTATGTCAATGAACGACCCGCTGGGAACTGCAAGCGGAAACCTTACAAAATAGATTGCAATGGGTGCGAAGCCATCATGGTGAAAACCACATTGAGAGCAACAGTCCTTGTTTTTTTCCACTGTTTACTTCATCTACTCTTCAGTTGCTCAGTGTAGAAACAACTTGTACGAAAGGAGTAGTTTTCAATCAAAGTTGACTAGGATCTCAATCACCGACCTGAGCAACACACAAACATGCAATTTATCCGAACGTAACAAAGACAACACCTGTTTTGTACTTCGACTCCCCCCCCCCCCNAGAATTAGATTGCTGCAAGGCAGCCCCAAAACTAATGCGCATAGCCTGAGTCATGTGAACGGACTAGCAGACAAGCCTTTGTCTGAAGTGTGAACTCGCACGGTTTCATGCACACTTTCATCTCTTTAATGACTTTAGTTTTGCGCCTGTACACCAGCTACAGCGATACTTCCTAGACTCGACAGGATTGATGGGTAGTACATCTGCAGTGAGAACTTATTCCGAACTCCTCAGAGTCGAGTGAATGTCTCTAGAAAGCAATTAGGCCTTGGTATAAAAACCGAAACAGCTTTTGTTTGAAACTCTCGTCTCAAACAAGTTCATTTTTAATTTAAGGAGAACCAATAAATATAAATACATGTATATTGTTATGCATAATACCTAGGTCACAGCATATAATCCTTATATTCATTTTCTCGATTTTTTTTCTTGGTGACAATGTTTTATTTGCATATTTCCTACTGCATGTCCGTTCAGTGAGCATTTCTCTTCAGCTGTAATATGGGCCTTATCCAAAAAGCATCCGTTTAAAGGTAAAATAATGAATGATGCAAAATTAGTCTGGGAAATATTCGATAGAATTCCCTGTATTTTCATCTGCTCCCCCAGTACTTTGACTTTTACTCTTGCAATTTATCCACGTGCGCTCTGCTTCTAATTTTCATTGATTTATTGTTCAATCTGATGAAGTCAGCTGAACAAATTCAAATCTTTTTTTAATTTTCTTAATAATCCTGCAGTTCGTTGTGGGTGATGCTGTGGGACAATGATATTGATTTTGAATTACCATCCTTCAACCCGCTTGTCGCGCACAATTCTCAGTTTATTCCATAAACCGCACACTGGGGAAGCACTAAATTTCATCATTGCTTCTTTTGAGGCTCATCAATAGTGAATATTCCACGTTTAACTGCTGGATTTGAAATTGAAATGCTTTTCTTCGATTTTGAGGTAAAGACTCAGTTTAATTTAGGGTACATCAAGAATTTTCTTACAGTTATATTACAGCCTAAAGGTAAATTTTAACTTTGAGAATATATCGCTGGTATAACTGATAAAACGAATGCTGTAAGAGTGAAATATTTCTAGATTGATGGCGATGATTTGAAGAATGTTTTCAGTTTGCGCTTGATGTGGTGCATACTCCTTTCTTGAAGTCTAATGAAGTGGTTGTCCTCTTTTTATTCAAAACCCATATTGAATAGCATCACTAACTGGTTAAATGTAACAGCACCATCGTAAACTGAGATTATTCGAGAAAATTGTGCACTTCATTCACGGTGCTTGTGTTACATCTCCACCATCACATTCACTTGCACCATCATTTTCATTCTTTTCCCGGACATCAACGTTCGAGACAGTCATCACCAACAGCATCATAATTGGATGCTGAAACGCAAAAGCAAAGGTCGACAGGAGTCTTCAAGTTTTTCCTAGAATGAAACATTATGCAAGCACAAGAACCGTTCAGCTTGTCCACTGATGCATATTTCCTGCACTTCGAGAAACCTGCTCCCTCAACTAGCTTCTTGATCGTGCCGGCAGTCAGCCTATATGCTAACTGGTGGAGACCGCATGTCTCTGTAAGTTGGATGGATAAATTTGAATGTGAAAAGATCAGTGCGATCGGTGTGGCCTCGTAGCTCAGCTGGCAAAGCATGCGCGTACAACGCGTGGACGGTGTTCATGAGTAGGTTTGAATCCCACCGAGGCTACTGAATTTTTCACAATCGATATACAAACTTCAAATCTGTCAAACAACAATTTGAACAATTAACCTTGTCTTAGAAGCTCATTCGGTGGACTCCGGTGAATTCCAAAGAAAACCTGTCGGGATAGTCAGCTTACAGGCTAACTGGTGGATGCGACATGCCCCTGTAAGTTGAATGTTATGGCTTACAACTGAGTGATTTGCGTTCTCTCTCAAACTATCTGATGTGGCTTGGAATACATGGAAGGCCACGTTCGTAGATTACATTGCATTTTTGCGTGCATCCAATTCTTCACTGCAACTCACAAATGAATTGTACGTTAAGTTACTACGGCTGTACCCCGGAACCGAAGGCAGGCTACCCTTTGACCGATTGAATTTAGATGACAAACCATTGAAGAATGTCATCGCTGCATTGGACAGATACTGGGGCAAATCTGCGAATGAGCAAATGGTTCGTTTCTTACGCGAATTCGAATGCTCGCCGAGTGCACCGGAGGCCCCGGCAAAAAACTCTGATGATACACGTAATGTTGAGTCCCACTGCTCTCGAATAAGTGTTGCATCTCTTGAACCTTCATTGTCCTCCACTAATACACATTGTGCAGTCGATTGTACAGAAAAGTGAACTTCATGAGATTTCCCAGTCGCAAACTCAAAAAGTCTAGGTTGTACCTTTGGTTAGTAAACAACTGACAACAAAGTAGAATCTGACAAACCAGTCGGAGGAAAACCGAAAAAGTTCTGATAACGTATGCAATATTGATGCCAGTGACAGCAACGGTGGCATTTTGCGCTCCATTGTGCAGGAAAATACCCATCAAAAGTCTCCCCAAGAAGGCACTCAACATTTGCCACTTGATTCGATTCCTGGAACCGAATATGTGCAAAACAAAATGCGTTGGTTTCGTTTATAGAAACCAAGAAAGCGGAGGAAACCGACAATGTGTGCCCGTGTCAAGTTTCACATAATCGTGCAGCAAGGTCGCACGGAGTTCATTAGATTAAAAAGGAGAAGGGTGAGTCTAAATTCGTTTCACCCTGGAAAATTGGAAATATGAGTCCACCAAGTGTGACAAAAATCCGGGTTTACGAGTCGCTTCTCAGAATTCTGCCAAGCAAACCTTGCCCGTCTCAATTTGAAACTAACTATGAAAACAGATCATTCCTGAACTGCACTTCGGAGGTTAGGAAAAATGCAGCATTCTTCTACTCGGATCCAGAAGACATGGTTTCAACTACACAAGTCATCAGTATTTTATGATTTGATTTTATGATTTGTTGTTTTTCCCAGTGAAAAGACTAACCCTTGCTTAACTTGTGGAAGGAGCGATGATCTTATGGCTTACAACTGAGTGATTTGCGTTCAAACTGATTGATCGATCGATCGGTTGATCAACTGACTGACTGTTAAATGTTGGCTTGATGGCATTCGCATGTCCTGCGACGTGTAAGAAAGACTCTGCCTATCTGCCTGCCTGTTTTCCTCCCCACTGATCTTTCCCACTTGTTCCCCGGTATGTGTACCGTCTACATATTTGCTGTTTACAATAAACTTACTGCTTCGTTCGTTGTGTGCTCATTTGCCTATCAAATTTGGGACACAACAGAAAGATAAAATCGAATGTGGAAAGATCAGTGCTATCGGTGTGGCCTCGTAGCTCAGCTGATAAAGCATGCGCGTTCAAAGCGTGAACGGCGTCTATGTGTGGGTTCGAATCCCACCGAGGCTACTAAACCTTTCATATTCGACTAACATTTGATTCGTTCGTCTGGAAAATGCGATTTGTTAAGTGACTGAAATCACAAAGAAATAACGATGTCTAATCGAGTCTATGGGGTGGGATAGTCTTTAGTGTGAACAGCGTTCCTGAGCAAAAGGTTAGGCGATTGCATGTACGTGATGATGATGGGTGCATGTCTGTGTGCGTTCGTGCGCCCGTGCGCATCGTACACTCAGGGATCGGCACGAAATAAAAGTAGTGCCAAAAAGTACTTTTTCCCCATTGTCGTGAGCAGTTCAAGTTGTTTTCTAATGTCGGCAAAATTGCTTACTCAAGATAAACTCTCC